TTACGTTAAAATTCTTTCTTCTTCTCTGCTCTCCTGCACTGCTACACACACGCACGCACGAACGCACGCGCATGAACTCACGCGAAGTTTATATCTTAATGCATTAAAAGTGCCGGGGTATTGATGCACATTACATTCTCTATAAATGAGAAGAAGAGGAGAGTGCTAATGAATATTAAAATTCAGGATACTATTTATTATTTATGTGCATTATGCTCATCTTATTATTATAAAATCGTGCACCTTACTCGCTTACAAACAACATTTACCCCATTAGACAAGATTAATGCTTATTACGTTATTATGGGAAAATAAAAAAAAACCTGGCACCATATGTAACATATTTTATACTTGATTAAAAAAAAAAAAAATATCAAAAATCGTAAATTTTTATGCACAATTGATAGTAAAACTTAAGTTCAGTATACGAGGGTACTATTATTTTAAATGTTTATACAATTAATCAAATTAATATTACAAGATTATTGAAAGTATAAATATTAAGATTTTTTTCTCCCCCCTTTAAAATGTATGCGTGCCGTATGTATGATTATATTAGCATACGTGCCTAATGAAAAGTAATTATGGATTAAATTTTTATATTTTTTTAAAGACGATCTATTAGTTGGGCGTTGTTAACCATAAATTCGTTTAAATTTTTAAAAAATATCTCTTAAAATACCGTTATAAATAAAACTTTCATAAAAATGTTATTATAAGAAAATTAAGACCTTTTTTTATCTTATCTAATGATAAGTGAAATCGAAAATTACAAGACCATTTATTAATGAAGGAATTTAATTATCATTTTTGTTAGTAATTTTTGCATATTAAGAAAATAAACATAAGAAAATTATCGAATTCGTTCAGAAGAATTCAATTTTAATTCTTTATAAACGCGAAGTGAAATTTAAATAATAAACTTCAAATTGGTACGAGAAAACGTCTTTCTGTTAAGTAAAAATTAAGTACAAAATTAAGCGATCGAACGATCTATCAATTTTCATAAATTTCATCTTTCTGCAATTATAAAGGATTTCATTAATTAAAATTTGATTTCGTGCGCCAACATAGCGATATATAAGGATGGTAAATATTAATTTAAAATTCAAAATATTTATTTTAATGTTGGCGAATAATTTTTTAATATAAAAATATTTTGTGGTAATATTGTTCTTAAATATAGCCTACAAAACATACAAAATTATCACTTGCTTTGTATATATATTTATTTCTATATATGTTTTCAAATAATTATCACATTTTAAATGCTTTAAGATTTGTAAACACGAGAGTTCACACGAAACATTTATCATCTTTAGAAAATGAAGGATCCGAACGGTATCATAATTTCGCCAATATATAATAGCTTTCTGCTTTCTGCTTTCTGGTTGACGATTTATGGAAAAAGTACAGTGTTGAAGTGTATCGAGAAGCTTTATTGCGAACGGCATCGAGCCTAAGCATACAAATCGCAAATATAGAGGCGACCGAGCACACTATGGTTCGCGCATTTAGCCATTCGTAACGTAGATCATAACGTGCAATCACACGCGATTAGGCAGTTGCGAAGCAGCGATGCGCGTTGAAAAAAAAAGAAAGAAAGAAAGAAAGAAAATATGAAAAGGGAAAAGGAGTAGAAGGCTTCGCCTTTGGACTGTAGATAGAGCCTATTAATCGGAGGTATAGGCCAATGGAAGTTCCGAGTTCCGCATCTAGGAAAGTAGAATACCCGTAAAAAGGAGGTAAAGAAGGGACTATCTCGTCCTCTTCCTCTTCCTTGCAGCACGTGCGCGAATTATTCATTGGGGAAAAATTGGCAAACAGGCGCGCGTCGTGTCTCTACGGAGTGCGCGTATCTTTGCGCGTCGTTTTGTGAGCCCCGTAGGTCTTGCCGATCCGTGGCTCCCTCGCGAGTCGCCGTCACAAACTCGCCTCTCGAGAATGAAAAGAGCCGAAGCTGCACGAGGGAAGGCGATAGATAGGCGAAGAGCGAGAGCGAGAGCGAGAGCGAGAGCGAGAAGCATCAGCAATAACAGCAGCAGCAGCAGCAACAGCAGCAGCATCAGCAGCAGCAGCAGCAATAGCAATAGCAGCAGCAGCAGCAGCAGCACAAGCACAGACACGTTGCGAAAGGAAAGGCATGGCGAGACGTACTGAACGGTGGGGAATCGCGCTCCTCCCCTCCCCGCGCCCCTCAATACCTCCCATCATATCGCTCCCACTACCGTAAATCCCTAATACGTGGGTTCGCGCGTCGCCATTTCCTCGCGATGTACTGCGCGATCCGTACGTATTTTTTGTAACCCCCACTCCCACTATCTCTCTCCTTCTCTTACTCTCCGTTCCATTATATGCTATAGATTCCTCTTTCTCCCGCCCCCTCCAACATCCCGCTCTCACACGCATACGGGCGCATGCACTGGCTTCTGTCTGCTGTCTGTCTGTCTGTCTCTCTCTCTCTCTCTCTCTCTCTCTCTCTCTCTCTCTCTCCCCCTCCCTCCCTCCATCCCTCATTCTATCAGCTAGTCAGTCAGTGTGGCTGCTCCGTCGAGCCTCCGTCTATCCGTTTCGCAAAGTTGCAACACTTCATCCCATCCCAGTGGGGATTTTCGGCGCGAGCGCGCGCGCCTCTTCCGTCTCTCCAGACGAGCGCCAAACAGGTAAATAGCCGCGACTATCGGAAGCGCGTAGAGGAGTGTTGTATATCGTAGCCGGAATATGGAATAAAATATTGCAACGTGATTATAATTGTGGAATCGCGAAAATTAAGCAAAGTTAAGGACGCGGTCGCATTCGCATTTCTCGCGTCGCGCGGGCGCCGTCGTCGTCGTCGCCGTCACAAGTGCGCCAAAGATTCTCACAAGATGGAGAATTTACGTGCGCCCAGCGCAAAACGCACTCCAACTCGCCAACTGCATCTATAGTTTGTGCGCGCTTACACATTCGCTTGTGAATTCTGGCTTGCTCCCGCCTTGCCTCGTTCTCTCTCTCTCTCTCTCTCTCGTTCTCGTTCTCTCAACCTCATCCCTCTAGCCCCTACCTAACCTCCCACACGTCAACCGGCTGGCCCAACACCAGCTTGCCCAGAGCGTACGTGTGTCGCTGCTAGGGTGCCGTTCCGTTGGCATTCGTTGTTGAGCGCACTTTTGCAACTGCCGGTCACCCTATCCCCTCCTCCCTTTATTTGTCCATTGCTTGCGCACTGTAGTAGTAAGGCTCCTGCCATCGCTTTCCTTACGTTTCCTTCTCGTCTTCCATACCTCCTCCTCCCCGCCGTCCCCCGGGTCATCTTATCGTTGACAAGCGCAAACACATTCGCAATCACATTCACGGCGAGGGCGTCTTTTCTCGTTTCGCGCGCACTTGAAGCGCTGTTGGTGTGCCGGGACGAACGAACGAACGACCACTCCTCGGGGAGATGCATATCGATGTGTCGTCGACTCTTGCCTCGTCGTCTGCGCGAGCGCGTGCTCGCTGTTGTTCCAGCCGGCCGGCAACCTACCTCCCATTTCCCGCCTCGTAACGTAATCGGAGAAAAAGTAGCCGGCCGTTTTCGTAAATCCGATAGCAATACCAGCGTGCCATTATTTCGCTCTCTCTCTCTCTCTCTCTCTCTCTCTCTCTCTCTCTCAACAACCGACTAGTGGTCCCCTTCGCCATCGCGACCACCCCTCTCACACCACGTAAAACGCGACACCGTCGACTCTCAGGCATTGGACTGTTAGTTACACTCTTCTCATCCGATTCCCACACCTCGTGCAATCTCCATGCAATTTTTGGTTATTTCCTTTCGAGCCCGTCGACCGTGCGTATATTCGCCACTTACGGTGAGGCATTTGTCGCCCGCGCGCATGTGTACGCGTTGCCTCGTGATGGCTACAGGAATGAATGTACGTAGTCTTTTGCAATGCGTGCGCTCCGATTAAGCGCAGTATAGAGCTTTGCCGAATTTTAATTCCCTCTGGTGGTGATTTGTGATTATCTTAGAAAAATTGTTGTAAAGGGAACGCAAGCATAAAGCTAGGATTATATAGATGGGGGTAATAGTGGCGTAATATGGAAAAGTGCATCGTCTTGGTCTTGTTTTATAGGACTCGCAATTGTCTGTCCCGTTGGTGGCTTAACTACTTGGCGCGTCTGGTCGATCGGGCTTTTTAAGTAGAGAAAAGCCCGCCAGTGTGCGCCGCTTCATCGCACCCATGCATTTTCCACTGGGATGGCAGCACATCGGTAAAGGACGCGAGTTTACGAAGTGGTAGGGAGCGAAAATATTTTGGTCCGGCGTACGTTCAATTTCCCTTTCCTAGACACTCGCTCCGTTTTCCCCCGATCGTTGCATTCACACTCCTGATCGTGTGAATTTCGCAACAGCGAGATTGTCACTTTGATTTTCTTTTTTCTTCTTTCTTTTTTTTTTTATTCATATTTTTTCTATCTTTTTTTTCTTTCTTTTTTTTTTTTTTCCTATCATTTCTTTTGTTATATTGATCGCGAAGGTTATGTACGGCTGCACCTTGTTACTCATTCATTATAATCAAAAGGTTATTAGGATAGAGTGTGTTTTAGTTCGTTAGTATAGTAACATTTGTAAAGAAGGAATAAGACATTTGAATTCGTTTGATAAAATAGTATAATTTTTTTTTTCCGTTTCTCTTTTTAGTTTAGATATTTAGTTTACATCTTTTGCATATTTCTACTAAATAAAGTTTCGCTCTCGATCAATAGAAACCAATGACGTGTAATGCTCATCAAACTTTATTTGCTCCGTAACAATGATGTACAAGTAACATTAATATTATATTTAATATACTATTAATTTCAATTTGTCTATTATTCAAACATTTTCTTTCCATAAGAAACCGTGCAAAATGTGTAAAAGTTGTAATACATTGAACTGCATTAAATATAATTATCATTTTAATAATTATTATGAATTTTTCATTCAAACTATGATGAAGTTATTAAGTAAAATTGTTGTATTCGTGTTATGTTTAAAGACATGGCAGAGGGGAACGGGGAAATAAAAGCAGAGGACAAACAGTCCAAAGAAGAGATGGAGTATGTTGAGAGAACGGAAGATTACTTCAAGCTCATACAATATGGACTGACTGAAAAAGTTGCTGGCAAGCTTGATGAAATCTACAAAACTGGAAAACTTGCTCATGTAGATCTGGATGAAAGAGCTCTCGATGCGCTTAAGGAATTCCCCGTCGAAGGAGCGCTTAATGTCCTTACGCAGTTCTTGGAATCAAATTTGGAACATGTATCTAATAAGTCGGCGTACTTGTGTGGAGTTATGAAAACTTACAGACAAAAGAGTCGCGCTGGTCAAGGAACTGGAAGTACTAGCACAACACCGAAGGCACCCGATGAAGATAAAATAAAGGTAATTAAAATGTTCTAATGATGAATTTAACATATTACCATTGACTGTAATATTATAAAATTAATTTCAATTAATCATTGGTTATTAAGTCAGTTCAATATAATTGGCTAATTAAAGAGACTGAAATTAGAGTTTTATTAAGATTTTCATAAGCTACTTTGGGTAGATGAAATTCTTATAAATTATATTGCATATAAATTACAAAGAATAAAGAATGATTTCGGAAATATTTTTTCTTTAAAGATGATATTGGAAAGAACTGGCTATCCACTGGATGTCACAACTGGGCAACGAAAGTATGGAGGTCCACCACCAAATTGGGAAGGAGCAACACCTGGCACGGGTTGTGAAGTAAATTAAAAATGTTTAATTTAATACAGTTAATCATGGAAATGTAGTTATTCGTTGCGTTTCTTTATTTTTATCGCTTTTATTCATATAATCGTATTTTTAAAGGTATTTTGCGGAAAGATTCCAAAAGATATGTACGAAGATGAGTTGATACCTCTTTTTGAGAAATGTGGGAAAATTTGGGATCTGAGGTTAATGATGGATCCTATGACTGGTACAAATAGAGGATATGCCTTTATAACATTTACAAACAGGGATGCAGCACAACAAGCTGTGAGAGAGGTATGTTGAATTCTCACTACTTACACGACTGTCCTCCTTGTATCATGTACAATCTTATCTTTTCTCATTCCCATTAGTTGACTACCATGCCGCTATGGACTCATTGGATCTCTTTATTTATTTATTATTTACAAAATTTCTAAAAATGTTACAAAATTGTTATTGCTACCAGAGTTTACTCTTAATCAAAATGTTTAACTTCCACTCTCTTGATTATCATTTTTCAAAGATTTCGTTTTTTTTTTTTATTTTTTTATTTTTTTTAAATTATTTGAAAGTCGAATCTTGAGATTTGTCTTTTATTTTTTTATTTTAGTGTTAAACATTTTAGTTAAGCGTTGATACATCTATATGTGGCTTGTTCTGTGTTCGTGCCTTTGTACATGGTAGTAGTTATAATAAGTGTTTAATACATCCTTGTTAAAGAATCCTCATGAGACAAAATAAATTTTAACCAAAGGATTTTTTTCGTATTATTCATAAAATTTATTCAACGAACAATCCACATGAATTTTATTTAATTTTTTTTAATTTTTTTTAATTTTTTTTTTTATATTTATTTTTTTTTTCTTCATTTTAACAACATCTGTATGTATATGTCTATATATATGCGTGTATATTTATATATATATATATATATATATATATATATATGTGCGCATGTATTTATATGCATATGTACGTGTGTACATATGTACGTATTCGTCTCCATACGTATGTATGTATGCATGTACATTTGTGTGTATATATGTATTTATATTTATATGTCCCTGACCATTTTTATTCATAGTTCAAGTACATACGCATACTGACATCCAACTTGAATCCCGAACCAAACATATTTGTGTTGTGTAATGGAGATTTAAGCAACGCAATATTAACAGTGTTCTACGGATGAGTTTCTTTTCCAGCTCTCCTCTTTGCTCAGTGGGCAAAATTGGGAGTGGAGAACCTTCCTGGACAATAACAATAGTAAAGAAAAAAGTAATAATATAGAAAAGAAAGTTAAAGGAAAATTTTAAGGCAGTCTAATTGGTTAGGGGTATATTTACTTAATTGGTCTTACATTTTATTGGACAGTGACAATTTTTGTAACAAAATTTTGTGAAAAAATTAGTTAGGCTAAAAGATTTGTTACAGGAGTGCACGAGCGTTTAAATAAACGCGAGAGCACATGCCGGTTCCTATCTTGTGAAGAATCGAGCAACAAAGCGCATGCTAGAATGGAGATCCACGCCATGCTATAAAATAATTCAATTTTTTTTTTAGTTATTTTTATTTTAATGTTTATTGGCTTATAAACGTTACATCCATGGACATTTCGGTAATCCGAAAATTATATTTTTCACTTTCGGCCTAATTTTTTTGTTTTTTTTTTCTAAAGAAAAAAGAAGGGAAAAAATGATGAAAAAAATTCTATTATTTTGTGATACAAAATTTCTTTCTTTTTTTATTTTTTATCAAAATCAAACAAAATTAGGCATGTGTGTGTTTTTTCTTCATCCCACAGCTCGATAATTACGAAATAAAACCCGGCAAGAATCTGAAAGTAAACATTAGCGTTCCTAATCTACGACTTTTCGTGGGGAACATACCAAAGTCAAAAGGCAAAGAGGAGATCTTGGACGAGTTTGGTAAATTAGCAGGTAAAGTGAATTCGAGGCGTGTGTTTACCTATACCTTAAATACCTACCTTTACCTGCCTCTTCTTACTACCTTTGTACTAAAGTAAACAATAAGAGAGTGGTAGCTTATAAGTAGAGTTGGTCTGCATCATTGCTACAAGAATTATTTTGTCATGTATTATTACTTCACTAGTTTAAAGGAGCATCGATAAATATGACGGTTGAGTACGAATGCTTGAAAAAATCTCGTCTGACCAATGAACTTCTTCTTATCATTGGTCTGACTAAGATTTCCATTCATTCGATACTTTCAACGACTTTATATATATATATATATATATAAAAAACAAAGAAAAAAGAAAAAGTAAATAAGAAGAAATATATTCTTGGTCAGTCTCCTTGCCTCTCGGTTTATTAGTGAACAGTAAAACACCTCTCTGGTCCAAGTCTTCTATTCCTCTCATATTTAGGTTGAGTTATGAGTTAAAAATATGTATATCCAAGAAAAATAATTGTATGTGATTTATAAATGGTTATAAATTTTATTTTTTAAACGATTTAAATTGCATATGCCGTTATATAATGCTATGTACATTTACACGTAAAAATAAAATTTATATACAATTGGCGATTATTTACAATATTTTCGCGGGTACATATGCATTTATAAACAATCTCTTTCCGAATTATTCATAGAAATTTCTCGTGTGACGGATATTTTAAAATCTAAAGAGTATGGTACAAAATTATTCTTAATTTTTATATATGCCTTTCTTTGTCTAATTCCTGCTCTCCTCTGCATTTAGAAGTACATTGTAATACACGTTTTCGTCGCTCAATTCCTCCTTTCTGAAAGCCTGCAGTCTTTTCTTTTACTTCTTACTGCTTCTGATCTACTTTAACTTTTAAGCACTATCATAGGCAGCTTTCTACGACTGTACTACTTTCTAATGTATTTTGATAATTATATAGTATATATGTATGTATTCACACACATGCATAAGTACGTGTATATATATATATATATATATATACATACCTATGCATAAACTGTGTATACATAATACGGATTTATTGAACTTATAAATAGTATATTGTTCATTGTTGGGTTAGTAAAAAGAGGAGCGAAGAGAGTGACGGAAGGGAAAATTTTATATCAAGCAAAACTGTAAGTAAGCAAGTGAGAGAGAGAGAGAGAGAGAGAGAGAGAGAGAGAGGGAAATCGCACGCGTTAAAATATGAGTCATATATAATTTGTATTTCTAGATTCGATCGAGTGATTAAAAAAATTTTTTTTACTGTTTTAAAATTAACGTAAAATCAGTGTTTGTTTCTACTTTGGTGTTAGTAAATGCAATTGTTAAAGTATGTTTCTGTGAATGCTTAAATGCTACGAATTTTATTCAATTTTATTCATTTCATAATTTGCATCGCTCTACTTTTCCTGTAAATAATAATGATTATTATTATTTGTAATTACATAAAATCTTTTGTTTTCATAAAAAAAAAAAAAAAAAAAAAAAAACAATTATTTCAAATTACTTCATTTCACTTAAAATACAATTTAAAATAAAAATTTATATAATAAGATAAAAATGTTTGCGTACATCGTACACAAACAATATTACATCTTTAAATACAAGCTTTTCATGTATTTGAAAAGACTTGAGTTTAAAATCAAAGTAGAAACTCGAATACACACACACATACACACACATATGTATGTATATATATATATATATATATATATATATATATATATATATATATATGTAAAAATTTTTAATGAGTTACTCGGTGATGAGACAGTTTTAAAAGCAGTTTACTGAAAAAGAGTAATTGTTTGGTTTGCTAATCGAAATTCATGACTAAGCCTTGAAGCATGGGGGTTCTGGGAGACCTGCGTGGACCTGCTGGGGCGTGTGTGGCTCGCTAACAAACGGACAGGCACTCCCATATCCACCCTGCATATTACAACCTTGATATCTGCATTATCCGTCTCCTCAAATTGGTTTAATCGACATCCTTAGACTTCTATTCCTCTATGTGCAATATCCCTCGTGTCCTCGAAGGTCACTTGTCACTTTTGAGAAAAGAGAAAAGCATAAAAACAAATAAAGAACAGAACTAGACACATGTAGAAAAAAAAACCCCAACACAAACAAATTTTAAGTGAAAAACAAACAAACAAAATTATACCCCTACACGGTCAGTCCCAGCCAATATAAGCAGATGATTATTTCACAAAAGGCAAGCTTAATTGGCACTCTCCTTCCACATTATTCTTACAGCTGAATGATTATGAGATTCGGAAAGGGAAAAAGATTGGTGTTACCGTATCTTATAACAATCACCGCTTGTTTGTGGGAAATATTCCAAAGAATCGAGACCGAGATGACTTGTTCGAAGAGTTTACAAAGCACGCACGTAAGTTGACAATTGCCCTTAAGAATCAACAAGGAGAAAGAAAGTTACATTCCTTTTTATTAATTTATTATTTTAATATTTTTTTTTTTTTTTTAATATTTTTTTATTATTTATTTTTTTTTTTTTTTATTTGTTTCCTTGATAAAAAAAGAACAAGAACATTAAACACAAACGAGTGTCTGTACGAATGAACAGGATTATGTATACGTAAAGTATTAAGTGTGAAAGTGTGAGAAAATGGAAATGTGGTACAACTTTGATAAAGTCCGAAAGTCCGCCCTTCGAATAACTCTTTGTGGAACACTCGTGTCAATTATTTTTTATCCATAATATCAACAAAATTAACTTTCTATGTATACGGTGATACCACTAACCAAAAGAACATCTGTACCACTCTGGGAGTTCATGGAATAAATGAATTGCAGTCATTTTTGTATATATGTATGAGGCCTCCTAATTTCAAAATAATCGGAATTTATAATTCAATGTAATTTAATTGTATTTTATTACGTCATAATGAACAAGGAATCACGATTTTATAACATGCTTTTAAATATCACTAAATTATTTGAATAATTTAACACGATTGTTTGATAATTATGTAGTAATTTCAATTCGATAACGCTTAATAATAATAAATAAATTAATAATACATTAATTAATAATAAATTAATTAATAGAAAATTTTGATCGTATCGGAGAATAATTAGTAATTTATTTTTATGGATAATTGAAATATTTTATAGAACAATATTGACTCGTATAGATTATCAACTAGAAGCATTAATTAATTGTTATATAATAAAATTAGGAAGTCACGAAGCTTAATGATTAAACGTGAGAATGTTCGGTGAGTTTCTTGCATGCACAACACTCCAGAGTTTGGATACAGAGAGGAATAACATCCGACTGACAAAAGCACAAATCCCAGAGGCAAGCGCCATGGTTGAAGGAGTAGAGGATCAAATACAAAATTCCAATTAACTCATATATACATATATATATATATATATATATATATATATATATATATATATATATATATATAAATAAGTAGATTGGACTAGTTTTCAAGACCCTAGCACGAAATTTATTTTGTTTTGTCTGTACTCAATAGTAGTTTATTATTTTATTTTAATTTTTCACGATTTTTCTCTTTCGCAGACTATATGCATGCCACGTAAAAAGTTGTATGTAACTATATAAACGGTTTTGGACTATTCAATTGTCAATAAACACTTGGCTAAATTCAGTGTTTCACTATTTAAGCATTACTATTATATTACTAGAGTCAATTATAGAGGTAGAACAATGTTGGGTGCGGTCAGGACTGTTTTTTTAGTTGTATCCATTAGTTGGGTTTGTACAATGCTTTTGGGTTTACTTTATAATCTTTTTTCTTATTTTTGTTCTTATATTTGTTTATATTATTTCTGTGTGTGTTTTCAAATGGTGGAAGATATTGAATGCAGTTGGTGTTTTTCTCTCTTTTAAAAATAAAAATTATCTATTTTCATTTAATAATGTGAGTGGTAGGTGCCATACTATCCAATAAAATGGAATTTTTAAACTGAGAGGAAGGAGAGTTGAACCATATAAAACCCAGAGAATTGAAAAACAATAATACATCGGAGATTTATATCATATTTTTTACTTATATTTTTTTCTCTCTTTTTTTTTTTATATCATTTATAACTATAGTTTTATTTTATTTTTAACATTAATCAGGTTCATTTTTTCATCGAAACAAAAGAGAGAAAAACGGTTTCATTAAAGAAGGAAAAAGTCATCCTTTATTCATTCATTTAATCATTCATATATTTTCAATACTTGAAGAGAAAAGGATTCGTCATACTAAATTAAATTTATTTTTTAAAAGCATATCAAAATTTTTATTACTCGTATATATATTTATATATTTTTATTGACTCTGATATTTTAAAAATTCTCAATTATTATTTCGTAATTAGATTTTTCGTTCTCTATCAAAATAATGTTCATAATTTATTTTCATTTATTTAGCGAAAAAAAAAGAAAAATAAAAAAAAAGGAATAATTTACTTTAAATTAAGTTTCTGATTAACTGCATTAACCTTGAACTCTAACTTATGCATGCCATTAATTTCCGCTGCTATAGCCGGCTTGACCGAGGTGATAATCTACAGTTCACCAGATGACAAGAAGAAGAATCGTGGTTTTTGCTTCTTGGAATATGAATCCCATAAAGCTGCTTCGTTGGCTAAGAGAAGACTTGGCACAGGTCGCATGAAAATTTGGGGCTGTGATATCATTGTTGATTGGGCTGATCCGCAAGAAGAACCTGATGAACAAACTATGTCTAAAGTAAAAAGAAAATTATTAATAAATATCTTATATCTTTTAACAGGTTTTAAAAGATTTATTTCACTTTAGCTCTATTCATAAATTTTTTTTTTTCTATATTTGTTTACAATACATAAAAAAAAACAATAAGTAAAAAAAAAACAATTGTATATATTTAATCTTTTAAACGTAAATATTATATATTATCAAATGTCCATACATTTATTTGAGTATTTAAAATATTGACAACATTATGTCAACGAGCCATTACGCCTGATTATACTGACAATATACAATTAAGAAAGAATTATTCTAATAAAAAATGTATTGTTATTTAGGTACGCGTACTATATGTAAGAAATTTGACACAAGACTGCTCGGAGGAAAAACTGAAAGAGTGCTTTGAACAACATGGCAAGATCGAAAGGGTGAAAAAGATCAAAGATTACGCTTTTGTACATTTTGAAGATCGAGCATGTGCCGTAAAGGTACGTGCATTTTTCAAAGTTTTGCACAAAAATTCTGAATACATTTTTTACTTTACTGTAATAGTCACACGATTCAAAGATATATTTAATTAATAAACGTACCATTTAAAAAGCTTTCATAACAAATAATTTAAGTATTGATCATTTTAGGCAATGCGCGAGTTGAACGGTAAGGAAATGGGTGGCTCCCATATAGAAGTTTCGTTAGCAAAACCCCCATCTGATAAGAAGAAAAAAGAAGAGATGCTGCGTGCACGAGAACGTAGAATGATGCAAACAATGCAGTTAATGCAGAGCCGTGGCGGGTACGACAATGCCTTGTACGATTTTCAACATTTTTAATACATAATTAATAAGCGAGTGAAACGATATAACCTTAAATTTGATTTTTTTTTTTTTTTTTTTTTTTTAAGAGTCTCATAAGTGGTGTTACAAGGTATAAAATTCATTTTGTTTTCGTACATCTTTTTACTATGTTATATCTAAAAATAGGTATAGCTTAAACGAGAATCGAACCAAGAGTTCCTGATTCTATAATTTTCTAAAAGTTATTTCTATCGCACTAAATGGCTATTTGCAGAATTTTTAACTCTTATGAGATTTAATTTGAAAAATACAAGTGAAAGGTTATGTCGATTAACTTAAAATTTTCATAATTAACCATCGAAATTATTTTTAATTATTTTAGAGGATCTCCCTCGCATCCGGCTATGATGGCTGGTCCAATGCCAGTCCGTGGACCTGGACAAGGTCCTCGCGGTACTGGCGCTGGTTTGCGTGGGCCATTGACGCGGAACGACACCTACGGTAAGTCAGCTGGATAATCGGTTGGTGTTTTACTCATTGTCTTAGTTATCTATTGACTCGGTTACTTTTCGATGATATGAAAGTCCGTGCAATATATATATATATATATATATATATATATATTCTTTTTTTATATTATTTATTTTTTTTTTTTCATTATTCATTTATTAATTTTTTTAATAACATAAGGATATAATTTATATTAATTATCAATTTTCATTAGTACTAAAGCAAATTTTTTTTTATTATTATTTTATTCAATTCTTCTATTATAGTTTTTTTCCTATACTACCAGTTAATAGTTATAGAAAATAATTGAATGTATAGAAAAAAGTTTGAAAACTGATAAATAAGATAAGTAAGCATAGTATGAGAGCTGATTTGTTGAAAGTGTCATAATTCGGTGTAAATTTAAAAAAAAAATATTGACAATCGATGGTTTACTTAAACGTAATATGACCGCAATATTTCTATGCAATATATCTATAAATTTAGCATTTAAAAAAATAGAAACTTTTATTTAATTGCAATATGACATAAAGACATTTCGCATGCTTCAGATATTTTTCATTATCTCACTACATACATGTGTAGCTTAGGCGCATGAAAAACAAATTTGGAGCATAAAAATGGTTCAAGAATTACGAAAAACATTTTGATTACCCAACCTGGATTCATCGTATTTTGAAAATAGAGATTAGTTAACATTATTGTTACGTGAGATTGTAGTGAGATATTACGACAAATGATGCTAATTAATAACAAATGCTTTAAAAAATTCATCAATAAATTTGTCGGAAAATGCTTTTTCAATCAGCATATAAATGTCCAAGTTTCATTAAAGTTTCTTAAAAATGGGTAATAATTTTGAAATTCATCTAATATTTTACATATTCATATATATATATATATAATAATAAATTTCTCAATTTTAAAAAATTTAGCTACATTTAAACCAGCTTTAGGTGCACATATTTACCTTACAACTACCACATCCTCTCTCAAAGCCAACTTTAATTTTTTCTTTATCAATCGCTAAATCAATTATGCATGCATGTATTGTTTGTTTTGTATATTTATGTTTTCGGTGCCATACAGCACTTAAGTAATTCATCTTCATACGTTAAATGAAGTTTGAACGAGCATATTATTCAAGGGATAAGTTGAGTTGATTTCTTTAAGTTATTTTTGTTTGGTAATTATTAGTTTTCTGTTTCTCATAATTTAGTTTTAAAAGTATGACATTTATTATATTAACAATAAAATTATCTATATAGATTTAATGTATGAATGTATCATCAATAAAAATAATCTGTTTTCAGCTCTCAAGGAATTAGGTAAGCCGAGAGATATGTTAAGAATGATTAACGCGTCGTTGTATAGATTATTAGTAGAGATTATGATTTTCTTTTCTTTTTTTTTTTTATTCTCTAGTTGAGTTTTGTAAACTCTTGATAGATAAATAAATGCATGCTAACATTCATTATCAAAATCTATTATTTTTCGAATTAATTTATAATTATGTAATGTATTTTCATTATTTTTATGGATGCTATTTAAACACAACAATTATTTATTTATTCATTCTAATCATAATACTCGGACGGATTTTGAAATACATGCGAGTTGGCATTTATTTGTAGAATCTGTAAATAGAATGGTGATAGGGTAATTATTAAGAGGTACTTTTTTATTAGCATTTGGACAACTTTGTAATTCTTAAACGCGATTTGAATTCCTCTGATATTTCGTACCAGCTCTATCATTTTGAATTTTTCACTTCAATAAACTAGTATAACGAGTTTTTGAGTTCTCTCTCGTTTGTTTCTTCACTTTACGTAATGGTCGTTTATTCTATTTCTTTTTTTTATTTCTTTTTTTTTATTATATATAAAGAAATTTCTCGTTAATTCTAACTTATAATCTATTGGTATATTATTATAAGTTAAGAAAAGAAACTTAGATTGTGAGAAAATAGTATCTTTTCCCGGCATGCTTGGTCTTTTTATTATTATTTATCATTCTTTTAAAATATAATTATTATTATTATTGTTAATTTTTTATGCAAGGAATTAATATGAAATTCCAACGACAGAACAACGATGAAATTTTATTATTATTATTGTTTGAGTTATACAATTCTGAATGTATTGTGGAGTATTTAGTTTGTCTGCTATTTTAATATATATATTTTTTCTAATTGCTATTTCATTTAATTAAACATGTACATAAATTTATATAATATATATATATATATATATATATATATATATATATATATACATTTTTTTTCTTTTTTTCATGATTGAGAACAATTGGTTTATCACGTACAAACATTCTTGCTGTTGTGTACATAACGTGGCTAAATTTTGGGTCTATTTGTAATGTGTGTTTTTATAGATTATGATTACGACTATTACGGTTACGGGGATTATCGAGGTGGCTACAGTGATCCATATTACGATGACTATTATCGATACGAAGATTACTATTTCGATTACGCGCCGCCTCAGCCACCTGCCAGAGGGAGAGGCAGGCAGCCTCAACCGGTGGGTCGCTCTTTTTTAATGGTTTTTAAAAAGTCGTACTTTTTTGTAAAAAAATTTTTTTATATTTTTTGTTTTATTGTAAAAATAATGATGATAATAATAATAATAACGATAATAACATACGGATAAATTGTAGTTATTATTGTTATACTAATGTTTCTATTGTTGTTAAACGTTTAAATATTTAGATAGGAAGTTTGATTGTGGCACAGTGTTCGCGGATTCCCATCATGTGTTTTGTATATTTTTATATATTTTTCTTAGTTCTCTTACACAATATTTATTTTTTAATCAAAAGTTCTTTTAATATTCAATTTATCATATCAATTTCTATGTAAAGTTGCTATGAATATCATTTAGATAAATATACTTCTTTGCTCTTTCTGTGTAAATCTTTACTTTTTCACGATCTTTCTCACTCTCTTTCGCTGTCTATAAGTTATCTTTTATTTCAATAGCTATTTTTTATACATCCTGAGGTACATAAAAAAATGCGCTAAATAAAAATTACCATAACGATTAATTTTAATATCGTTGGTTATAATTTTCATATTTTGTTATTACCTACTTATTTCAAACGAGTTAAAAAATTGAAAATTATAATGTCTTATTGCCTAATCCATTAACAAAAATAGCTTTATTTAATTTCTAATAATATTTCGTTTCATAAATTTATAATGTATATAATATGCTGTATAAAATATAATTTTCAAATATCTGATAACGAATCATTCGTGTGCATATTTTATAATGAATTTTTAGAGAATTGAGTAGAATATGTCTATAGTGCCTACAATTTACTGCAAGCATAACATTATAATAGTCAATAGTTAATTAAAAGTTAATCATTTAATGCAAATTTTTAATTATATTAAAACACAATGTCAATGTGTAATTAAAAAAAAAAAAAAAAAAAAAAAAAAAAAAAAAATATTAAGAGTAATATATTTATATATTTATATTTCAAATAGTTCATTACAAATTAAAATTAACAATATTAGTCAAAGTAATTTTTAATTGATAGAAATATATAATTAAAAAATTTTATACAGACAAATCTGTAATGTAGAAGTCCTAAATGTCAAAGTGAGAATGGAAAGAATTTGAATAATAGGATCCAAATTGGAATACAGTGTATGAGGCATTACTTATAGATTAATTAAAGCTCATATTTTTACCATTATTAGTTCAATTATAAATAATGGCACCTAAATAGATACGATCAGGTAATTTTTAAAGCTCTTTCTTTATGTATATTTAACATTATCAAGCGACTAGCTTACTCCTTCGTAACATACATATATATGTTTTATTCTATTGTCAAGTTCTTAAATTTTCACGTGTAACTTTAATTTTTTCAATCATAACATAAAACGGCCTGTGCGTGCAATTAACTTTGGCTATTATTAGACTAATTGGTTATTCTGCTGTTGGCTTTGCTATAAATGTTCTCATGTTGGTCATCTGCAATTTAACCCATTAGGAATATGCAATTTTTTAAAGACTCTAATCCACAAATAACTAATGATGCACTTTAACCAGCACGCATATTTAATATACTGAGAAAGAAAGTAACAAGTATTTAAATTTTTTTTTAATTTTGAACAAAACTGTATCAGATTCTATTTACGATACGTGTACAATGTTATGTATATTATTTTCTCAGTATACGCTACTGAAGAAGTTGTATTAAAAGATTTAAATTTACTCAAAGTAATTGACGCACTGCATGTAAAGAAAGATATTTTTGTCACGTAGAGAGTGAGAAAGGAATTAACGTTGATTTTATGATAGATACGCCTAAATATAAGTCGGTTAGGTTTAACACACACACGCGCGCGCGCCCGCGAATACCCCTGGAATACGAATAAAAATGAAGTATAAAATTTACAAAGTAATAAAGTGATTTATGTTAAAATAAAAAGAGAGTGTGATCGGTTACTTAATTGGTAACTTATTTTATTAAATTACTTTACATCATCCTATAAACCGAATCATTATCGTCATTTAATAAAAAATTTCATTTATTAAAATTTCGTCTTATAATAATATGGACAATTCTTTTAAAAAATATTTTAGACGAAAAATACATTTTTATCAGTATACATTTGCTCTGAAGTATTATGTTATTAAAATAATCATGTTAATTATAAAAATAATAAATAAGAGAAAGGAATAGTGGTACTAACTTTGATAAACCTCCCTTTACTTACATACTAATATTGAACCTTGAATGATCCGAACACATTGCCACTCTCAAATTGCTTACGATTTGTTGAAAAAAAAAAAAAAAAAAATATATATATATATTGGAAATCATATCTGAGCCATCGTAAAATCAAGAATGAGAGAAAGATGCAAAAATTTTTTATCCATTGTATAGCTATTGCGAAGCCGGGAAAAGCAAATTGGAAAGAACGAGAGACTCCAAACTCGAGACAAAAATATTTCGAAGAGCGAAATAGAGAAATGTCGAAAAAGAAAAGTAATATGACGTATGCCATAATTAGTCATGTTTATACTGTAAAAAATTTTACGCAAAGCCTTTAAGAAGTAATATATATATATATATATATATATATATATATATTTGTATTGGATATTACTTAGGCAAACACACTTTTTGGTAACATTAAATGTAAAAACTATTCATTTCTCGGAACAAATTTTATTCAGAAGCCTTTGGAAATTATTTACAGGTCCGACAGTTGTATATCACGTCGATTTGTATTTTATTGTTACAGGATGTATTCGCCATTATATTGTTAATTTATTCTAGTCCTTTAATCAAGTATTTATCATGCATAGTTTCACAGGTGATTCAGCTTTGTAAAGGAGAGCCAGCGGAGCTATAATTAATCTCGAAATGAATAACTTTATTTTACAGACTGTTTCTTTTAGATTACGTGCAGGAATTATGTCGTGGCTCGGATATGATATAATGATCTCACGATTTCATCGCAGGGTTATTCAAGTAACATGGAGTCATCGACACAGAGAAACAGACGCTACGAATGTTTTTTCTTTTTTTTTTTTTTTTTCCAACGCGAAAGTAACATTAATAACGGGCGATCAACTTTTTCTCTTGGATTATTTTATTTTATCAATAGCATTTGTTTAGGCTTCTTTATTTTTAACATATTATTTATTTAATATATGTGATTTGGTATTTTTACAGAAAAAAAAAAAGGTTGTTTTCTAATGTAATATTGTTTCCATTTTTTATAGTAATTGATTTAAAATTGAGTAATAAATTTTTCTATAAATGTTTATAATGATTTTTTTTTTCTTTTTATAATTGTCAAAATAAATACTATTTATTTTTATTAGTTTAATAACAATTTAATTAAACAATATAAATATAAATATAAACAAATTCTACGAAGATCTACATACCAAACTGGGTATATAAAAAAAGATTGTGTATTTTCTTTTACAATACATATATTTTAGATATATATATTTTTATTTAATATATATATATGTATTGTAAAAGAAAATACACAATCTTTTTTTATATTCCCAGTTTGGTATGTAGATCTTCGTAGAATTTGTTTTGGGAGAAAAAGTTGTTCGTCATCGGAACAGGAGCTAATAATCTATCGACGGATTCACGTTATTACAATTGTTATTATATACATTTATTATACTTAGTACAGTCAAGCCTTTAGAAAGAATTGATGAAGTAAGCTTATGCATTAGTATATAAAGTTAAGATTGTGAGTTTAGGTGTGAAATATAGTATTCATTGAATAGCGGAAATGGAACGAATAGATTAGATAAATGAATAATCTATTCGATCGAAGCAATAGTGACAATTTCAAATAAGAAAGACTCGCTATTGTTATCTGTCGAAGAAAGAATCAGCTTGGGATATGCTTAACCGCTTACATAACATTAGGCGCTTCAAATATCGCTATATCCGCTGCTTTGCCCGCTTTTTTTAATTTATGCAAATTTTGTTCAAAGCTATAATTTTTGTTTAATAATATTTATAACGCATAGTATGATTGCTGCTGTTGCTTTTAACTTGTCCACCTGTATGTTTGTATCGCTTACAAAGAAATTATTCTCATGCTTACACATAAAAATATTCGACAAGAGTGCAGCTTATTTAAGATTTAACGATTGACTTTAACCGATTTTCAACTCCAAGGTATTGAACGTAACTTTGCTGCTTTTTTTTTCCATTAAAAGTGTATTCCAATTTTTTGCTTCACTATGCCATACAATTACTCGCGTATTTGTGTACGTTACCAAAGCTTTTTTTTTTTTATTTTTTATTTTTTATTTATTTATTTATTTATTTTTTTATGAATTAATACACTTACATCATTCGTTATTGTAAATCTTTTATCTGTGGCACTATTTCTTCTTCATGCTTCTTCATTTTCTATGTAATCGTCTGACCAGTTTGACAAAGAAATTTCAAAAATAAAGACAAAAATAAATTCAAAAGAGTTATAATAAATTTTTGTTTTTCGATATATTTATTCGACATATTTATTGATAGTGCTGCGAAGTTCTAAATATTATTTAATCTATTCTTTAATTTATGAATAAAATACTTGTATAAATTAATGAAAAATTATTATTTCGTGATTTAAACGCGCAATTTTCATTAATTAAATAATGTAATTGTAATTATTAGTGAGAGTGTAATAATTTATATATGAAAAGTAATTTCCAGATCCAAAATGAAACGGTTAATAGCACTTAACTCAGACTGGTCGAACGTTTTCAAAATAATTGTCCTTCACTACAAATTGAGTTGCAGTTCCGAATAATTCAAGGCTAACAGATAAGAAATACATCGATTTCATATAAAATGTTGAGAGTACAAACTTAGAACGGATGTTACTTTTTGAGAGACCTTAACATATAATCGTATTTTATATTAAGATTAAAAAAAAGAAAAACCTTTATCATATACTGGGAATTCAAAAAGAAACAAAGCTCTTACGAATAAAGATTTCGAAATCTATATAGGACGAGTGAATGGAAATTGTCAAATAATGAATGAGCACCGTATGTTGTTTTGCACTCGGAGAATAATTTAGTTGGATTAAAGCTAAAGAAAAGATTTTTATAATATTCTTAGCGAGAATTTAATATTTATGTAGATTTTAAGAAAAATATTAGTTGAAATAATCCATCTTATTTTGTGGCTTTTACAAAGTTATTCATAAAATATTTATTGTTAATATTTGTCTATTGATTATATGTTTAAAAATTAAATTTATTTTATAAAATTATAATTGTTCAAATATTCTTATAATTACTTTTAATAAATTATTGTTTAACATTATGATGATTGGTCTAAACATGTGGCATATGCAATAAATAATTGTATATATAGATGCATATATATATATATATATATATATATATATATATATACACACGCGCACACGTGTAAATATATACCAACATAATATTCATTATTATTATTATTATATACTATATTTTTAAATAATGTAGTAATTACCGACGCAAGTGAAAGTAAACGATAGAAAGTAAATTAGTTATTAAATAATATCGATCCTCTTAAGTTAGTAATAATTTATAGGTTGTTAAGAAAGAATTTTCTATCCAACTAAGGTGTTTCTTCGGGTGCCCGTTACGACTAGAGTATAAATTTGTCCTATTAATATTTAAGTATAATAAATTGTTCTTCATATGCCTGTGTGCGTGTATTGTCGAGCGAGAGAGTGCGATGAGGAGTAAATGGTGAGTGTTGAAGCTGGAAGGACTGAAAAGTCGGTTTGTATAACCGTTTGTGGTGTGTTGTTCGTTGTTTTGGCCAGGCTGGACGTGGTCGTGGAGCGGCAGTAGCACGTGGCCGAGTCGCTGGCACCCAAGCACGTGGGCTAGTTCGGGGGGGGCGCAACCCCGCAGCTACAGGGGTCCGTGGGGCCCAACGGCCAGCCGCTCGTGGGGGGGTGGTCCGCGCCAAGGGAAGTTTACCAGGTGAGGATGGTCTGTATCTCAGAGGCGAATCCGTCTCTTTTTATTATTATTAATATTAATTTTTAATAATGAGCACACGCTTGATTGAGGAATTGTACGTGGCATTATTACATCGAGCTCGTTTCTATTATTTTTGGAAATATTTTTTTATTCTTATCGCTTATGTAAAACATACCACAATTTAAAGAAAATCAATCATCTTAATAAGGTAATAATTATATGTAATGGTATATATAATAACAATATACGCTATAATATTCATTTACATTAAATTAAAATACAGTAATTTAATAATTGTTAATTTAACTGTCAAAATGTTTAATAATAATCTTGATTAAATCAGTTCGTTATTTATATTTATGATTAATAGAATAATTAATTAATCTACCATGTAATTAGCATAATTAGCGTCTTAGAAATTAGAGAATGAAAACGAGCTCGTTACAATTTTTAGCATATTATATATAAAGACGATAAAAATTTAAGTTTAATATCAATCAATCATGTTAGATAAAATTATAACATTCTAGTACTTGATTTTTAAGTTTATAACAATAACTTAATAAGCTTTTACAGAATAGTATGTGATGAAAGATTGTGACTTATATTTTTCATGTTTGTGGCTATATATATAAAATACTTAAGAGGACAGAAATTTTAATTTCAAGTAAACGAACACCCTAAAAGCTTATTGTAATGTAAATTCATTAGAATTTTATTAGCTTAATGATTATTATATTAAAGAAGACAATATTAAGTCTAAACATCAATTAAATTTTTATGCAACATTTAAGCACGATTATTACGAAAATTATTTATTAATTATTTGTTTAATAATTGAAATGAAAATCTGTACCGTTATATTAACGATTTTTGGAGTATTAAAAATTTTATTTATTCGAAATAAATATCTCAATTAATACAATGATCTTTATACACATACATATCCTCCATCGAGTAGAACGAATTGTAAAAGTACAATCGTTGCTAAAATTAAATAGAATAATGTAACACGCGCACAAAAATTTGATAAAAAAAAAAAAAAAATAAATAAAAAAAAAAATCATTAATAGTAATTATGGCACTCTCTCTCGTAGATTCGTAGACTTACTACACTGGCTTATTCGCTTCTTGCCATCGCAAAAAGCTTCTTCTCGTTCCTTCATCCTCGTCCAACTGTCCAAGTACAATACACCCCTCTGCCTATGTGTTATTGTGACTACAAAGACGTCTCCTGCCGAGAAAGAAAGAAAGAAAGAAAGAGAGTGAGAGTGAGAGTGAGAGCGAGAGTGAGTGCGAGTGTGCATGAGAGATAGAGAGAATGAGAATGAGAATGAGAATAAGAAAGGGTATGTGTGCGTGTGCATGCGCGTGTGTGACGGAGTGATTGTAGAGAGAGAGAGAGAGAGAGAGAGAGAGAGCGAAAAGAAGAGAGCATCCAATTAAATGTTCGAATCTTGACTCTTGCTTTCCATAATTATTTGTTTTATAATGAACGACACTCGCTTGTATAATCACATTTCTAATTATTTGGCTCGATTTCCTATTATTGACGTTTTAAATAGCTTTATTATTTTGCGTTCTATTGATTAACTCGGACAGTTTTTCGTTATTCTCTTGTTAAGATACAAATTAAAGCACAGCTTTTCATGTTTGTTGATTATTTTTAAACGTAGAGGTCTGTTTTTTAAATATATATATCCAATCATTTTTTGATGTATTGTGGCGAAATATATAATTTTATTATTATTACTACTATTATTATTAAGGTATACCATACGTTGTTCATCATTTCGCTACTTTATGTCGAAGAATTTTACATTTTATTTGAATAGTTGCAATGACATATATTATTTTATCGAGTTATTGTTAGAACTCGTATGTACAATTAATAGTTTTTATAGATCGTTGATATTTGCAACTATAAAATATGTACATGAATATATATTTTTAAATAGTCTATTATTAATCTACTTAAAGATTCAATAATCTCTGAAAGATTACATATTTTGAGGATTATTGGGACTTGGAAAGTAATGAGAATTAAATTATAGTTAAAATTCAATGATTAATTGTGCTTATATAGAATCAAATTGATTATCGCGATGTCGTTCGATAGTTCCTTCGATAACGTGTAATCCCTCCTGGCGAATCGAGAGCAAGAAGTGTATTATAATAATGTGTTACATATTTATTATATCAAGCATTGATTTTCAATAAAATTATTAAAATTATAAGTAGTTTAAGTTTTTTTTTTTTTTTACTATGCATCGAGATAGAAATTTGTGCCAAAATTTAATAATGAAATAAATCATTGAAATTTTTTCATCAATGAAATTTATTAGTCACATTACATAAAATATTTCTGATATAATGATTAATTAAACGGCTATTAATTTTTTCATTTTCTCTTTGCATACCTAAAATGATAATCATATTAATAATATTATAATTGAGTGGATATCGAAGTTTTACCAAATAATTATTGATTTACTAATTTTGTTTCTACATAAGAACTGTATGAAAATTGTATTTATAAATTATGACGAATAAAATTAAGTCTAAAAAATATTAATAAATCATTAAAAATTATTCTTAATCAAAATATTATTATTTTATGTGGAATATATGTTATTCTTTGATATTTACTTTGAGTCGTCAATCGTTTGCCTTTTACTTTGCTATGGATTAATTATTCAAAGCCTTGGATATTCACATCTTTTATAAATGTATTCTTTCATTGCTGACCATTCATCCATAATTGATAGTTAATTGTGCCTTGTGTGAAAAATGCAACGGCAATTGTTATAATTGATTACCGTATTGCGTATAATAATGAGTCATTCAAGATTATTGGGTTGAATGGGTCACGTGACGTGCTACATCGAGAAAAAGGAGTTCGTTAAGCAAAACAAGAAAACAAAAAAGAAAACAAATAAAAAAACAAAAAAAAACCCCTTTTTCCATGTACACAAAACATAAATGATCACAGTCAAAGGTAATAAATGGTCTGACAAAAAATTTTGCCTTCCTCGATCCCATTTCCTCTCTCGCCCTTTTGTTTTTCTGTTACCGTCGAGCAGCAGGTAAGCGAAAGTTTGACGGGGGTCACCAGAACCAGGGGGAATCTAAACGTCGCTTCCAGAGCAGCTGGGGGAACCAGCCCCTTGCCCAGCAACCATTGGGCAACGCGTATGCAATGGCGAGTGTGAACGGTGGCGGAGGCGGCGGTGGCGGTTCAACGGGCGAGCGAGCCGGCGGCGGCGGAGGCGGTTCGGCATCCGCCGACGACGAATGGTACCATGACTTTTATCAGTCCTGGAGCTAACTTCGGCAGCCGGCTCCTCAGTTGTAAGAGCGCGTATGAGAAATAGAGTGAGAGAGTGAGAGAGTGAGAGAGTGAGAGAGTGAGAGTGAGAGAGAGAGAGAGAGAGAGAGAGAGAGAGAGAGAGGCGTGCGTGAATATGTGTTTCTGTGTTTCTGTGTGCGTGTGCTTGTTTTCAGAGTGAGAGAGACAGAGAGTATGAGAAAAAGAATGTGCGTAGATATGCGTGGGATGTCGGGGGCCGCTTTGCGCGGGTGGCTTTTAACACGGTTTGAATGGGTGTGTGAGTTGTGTAAAAAGTATCGCTGAATGCGATTGGCTCTTTTGTATACACGGTGCATATGAGGATAAGAGAAATAACGATCGAGAGGGAGATTTTTAAATATATATATATATATATATATATATATATATATATATATATATATATATAGAGAGAGAGAGAGAGAGAGAGAGAGAGAGAGAGGCGTGCGTGAATATGTGTTTCTGTGTTTCTGTGTGCGTGTGCTTGTTTTCAGAGTGAGAGAGACAGAGAGTATGAGAAAAAGAGGAAAGGAAGAGATGTTGAGTGAGCAAGAGAGAAAAGAAAGCCTCTTTGCCCTGTTTGCTAGAGGATGAATCGTCAGGCCGATATGTAGAACGCGAGAGACGCCACCACCTTCGCCCCACTGTTGTTGTGATTTTTTAAATGAAAATTGTACAGTGATGTGCCACTGGGACTGTATTATTACGATCGGAGTGACCGCCCACCCACCCGTACTAATTAATATTATATATTTACACTAAATTATTTATATATATATATATATATATATATATATATATATATATATATATATATATATATATATATATATTTATTATTCTTGTCGCCAACTATTCTAAGTATACCACTACTGCATTGTCACGTTCGTTTACAAATACTGCCAAGCTATGATCCATATTAATAAAGGGATTGATGCAACACATGAAGTTTTTTGACATGCATTGTGATGGCTCATACGACAATATTGTGGAACCTAAAAGAAGCGAAGGATTCTTTTTTTTCTTTTTCACAAATGGACATAAAATGGCAGAGGTTGATAACGACGTGTTGCTTTGGCATACAGGAAAAAGGAAAATTGAAGTAGAAAAGGTGCGTTTACGTGATAGTACGAGGAGTTGGAAATTAAAAATACACGGATGAAAATAGGGCTTTATTAACGTTGCGATACGAGTTTTATTAATTTAAAAAAAAAAAAATTATTTTTTTTTAATTTTTTTGTTTTTTTGTTTTTTTTTTGTTTGTTTGTTTGTTGAAGATAATATGTAATTTTTGGCGATGGAGAAAAAGATTTTTTTGTTCATTTGAAGAAAGGAAAAAAGCGCGTGTACGACGACGCGTTACGGATTCTTCTTTTCTTTTTTGTGCATGCGCTTGTATAGGAGAACGGCGTATGGAGAATCGAGAGAGTGATAACATAGCGGTAATCATGTATAAGCGAGCGAGTGCAAGAGAGCGAGATAGGAAAATTTGTAACGGTTCGAGATAAGCAGGGGAGACAGCGCGGAGAAAATGGCGACTGTAATTTTCGCGAATATTCTCTAAGAAGAGTCGGGAAAATTTTGGAACGAAAAGAAATTGACCGGGGCCAAGTGAATAATGCTTCATGATATATGAGGAGTAGATTTTATTTTTCCTATCCACTGATTTGCACCTGAAATATCGCGTTATTCTTTTATAATAATTTTTAACAACACATTTTAAAATAGACATTTAAAATTATTTATCTTATTTATTTGCTCATCCAACCAGTACACTTAATTTTTATACTGTATGGTAAAAACATTTATTACGAGATAATACGTATGTACATGTTCATTGCTCCCGCGTTAATTTTTCTTTCTACAATATCTTTTCTGCGCACTAATGCGAGTTTTGCGATAGGTTCGATGTTCAGGGCGCGAATATTCCTTTTTGAAAGCGAAGACATAGCGTAAGAACTCAGAGTTCGAAAGTTTAAGAGAGAGAGAGAGAGAGAGAGAGAGAGAGAGAGAGCGATAAAAGAAGATATCGAAGATAGATGAGATTGAATTTAGAAAAATGATGATAAAGTAAAATAATAAAAAAGAGCGAGTGACATATTCAAAGTGTGCTCGTGTGTGTAATAATGTATGCGTGAAGCGCGCCAAGCGCGGTTTAGACCTTCTATTGTTGGTCTATAAATGTGTACAGTCAGTGAAACTATTATTATTAAGGGTCAGGCGATTATAAAGTAGGGGGAAGCGCGAGAGAGTTTTGTGCGTTAAAAAAAAAAAAAAATGTTGCGTAACGGGAGGAGAACGGATTTATTGAAAAGGATGAAAAAATTAATAAAGGAAACGATGAGTGTCCGAAAGATAGGGAAATAGATAGAGAGAGAGAGAGAGAGAGAGAGAGAGAGAGAGAGAGAGAGAGAGAGAGGGAGATGGAGATGGAAGACCGAGCGTGCGACGCTCGACACGTGTTATAGTCGTCTCTACGAATGGTGTCTCCGCGGGTTTGATTCGATGGTGTTTTTTTCTGTCTATCTTTTTTTTTCTTTTTCTTTTTTTTTTCTTTTTCTTTTTTTTTTTTTTTTTAATAGAATATAAAGAAGAAATAGAGAGACGGAAAATAGAATGACAGAAGGGAAGCTTTACCGGAGCTTTTCTTGCGATAAGGATCGGGAAAACGGTTTGTTACATTTTGGTTGGTTTTAGAATGAGGAATGGCTGGAAATTGGGAGGAAGAGAGGAAAAACAACTTGTACAGTAAAACTTTTTGTACAGTAAAACTTTTTTCGTTTAAGAAGGGAAAAAAAATTGAAAAAAAAACCTTAGAACCTAAGAATAGAAACAGCACGCAGTACCCGAGTAACGAGAAAACTCTTAAAAATTCCTTTTTAAAAATTTTTGTAATTTTAACGTGTAAGGGAAGTTAAGTTTTATATTTGTTTGTAAAGAAAAAAAATTCTCGAGACGCGTTTCTTTCGGTAGAAAATATGGATACGGGAAGATTGTTGGAAGAGTTTCGCGGGTGAAAGCCGAAGGCAGGAGAGGCACAGAGACTTTAAAAAAGGTGCGCCATCGAGTTTTTAAAATTTGAAAGTGTCGAATAGAGCCCCAATGGTATTTTTATTCGCGTTGTTTGTATATTTAAAAATTTTTTTCAATATCATGTTTAATCTATTGATTTTTTAGTCACTTAATGCGATTCATATATTGAATCGTTATGTTTTAAAAATGTTAAAAAGTACCTCGACAAAACAGCACAGATTTATACTTGTTCGATAAAATGCAATTATCATTTCGATGCACAGCCATTTAGATGGATGTAATAAAAAGAGAGAAAAAACAGATAAATAATAGCGAATGGTTGAGAAATGTGGTAGTGAATGAAAACGGAATGAGCGATGAGGGAATAATGATATGGCTAAATATTCGGATTAAGATCGAATTTTTAAGGAAAAAAAAAAAAAAAAGAAACCGACGATAGGCTACACCAAAACGAATAATAATAATCACAGATTGTTAGGAAACACGCGACGCGCAAATTAATTTTGTCACAATCGTTGCACCGATTGTCAAAATTTGGTTATACGCTAGTAAAAATTGAACTTATACCGTCAGATGTTCATTGGTTTTTAACTGAAAATAAATTTAGATTTCTGAATTTCTGAATTAGCTGAATATCATCTGTCGAGTGTATATAAATTTTTTTCCGTATATTACCAAATTTTTTTTAATTCGGTGTAGTTGAGCGGTAAGCTCCAAGTTTTTGGATAAAGGATTATCGGTTTATGTATTTCATAATCTATTTTACGAAGAAATGAATTTCATTAATCGTATGACATGTACGAAATTATTTGTGCCATTGTAAAAAATCGGGAATCGTACGATTCGAGAGCTAATTTGATATGGCATAACATAAATTTATGTTATTTCCACGATGAAAAATACTGATCCAAATCAAATTTTAATAAGATAAGTTCGACAAAAACTTGGAGTTTAAGGCAACACAGTTAACAATAGGCCGTCTTATCAAATGGATAAAAGCAAATCTGCACCTGAGAAAAAAAAAACATAAGCGAGCGATCAAGCGAGAGTATAAAAGTGCGAAAGGAAAAATAAAAGCGAAACAAAATGAAACACAATACACGACAACACATACAAACGTAGCAAAATGTATGATTAGGTAACAATTAAAAAAAAGCATATACGTCAAGAAAATACACTAAGCACACTAACACTACTAGAACATACACGTATACACACACACACACACACACACACATTTTTTTTTTTTTTTTTTTTTTTTTTTTTGAGTGTTGAGACTCGTTGTTATTGTTAGCCTGTTAGTTAATTAGTAAGAGAGTTGTAAGTGCGGGCTGTAGTTGGTCCCTTGTCCCTGGAGAGCCTAGACGCGCCCTCCCCCTGTTCTGGAGATTATCTACGTTTAATGGAGCTTCAATGATTTTTTCAATTATTTCCTTTTTTTTTTCTTTTTTTTCTTTTTTTTATAATATTTTTTTTTCTTTGAATAATGGCTAAGAGAGAAGTGGAAAAAACATATTACGATGTTGATGAACTTGATTATATTAATAATAATAATAATGATAATAATAATAGTAATAATAATGATAATAATAATGGTGGAGAAAAAAAATAGGAATCGTGATGTATACAAAAAAAAAAAAAAAAAAAAAAAAAAAAAAAAAAAAAAAAAAAAAAAAAAACAAAAAAAAAAAAAAATAAAAAAACAAAAATAAAGATAAAAGATGAAAAAAGTTAAGATGAAAAGACGATAATAAAGTAAACGAAAAAGACACGATATGCAGGTGTAAATTTTTTAATTTTATCTGGACAATGGCACGAGAGTGAAATTCAAAAGAAACGAACGCGCAAACTCCCATCGATAGTTTCATCATTATCAGGATTTCACATAAACATAATTTGAAAGAGTAATACAAAACCCATTACCGACAGCACACAACACACACACACTCACAGATATGTACACAATAATAATTATTTAGTGGTAAGAAACTACTACTACTACTCATACTATTACCCCCCCCCCCCCCCCCGGCAAACAATACATACTATAAAACATTGACAATAACATACAGGATAGTGCATGTAATTGCATAATCACTTG